ATTCATCTATCTATCTATCTATCTATCTATCTATCTATCTATCTATCTCAGTCTCTTCTTCACTTATGTATCTATTTAATTCAGTCTGTTTATTATCTATCTATCTATCTATCTATCTATCTATCTATATCTATCTATCTATCTATCTATCTATCTCAAATTGTTTATATCTATCTCAGTTTGTTAATATCTATCTATCTATCTATCTATCTATCTATCTATCTATCTATCTATCTATCTCAGTCTGTTCATTATCTGTCTGTTTATCTATCTATTTATCTATCTTAATAAATAAAATAAAAATGAATATATAAATAAACAGATAATTCAATTAAATTATAATGTGTTACTTTGTATACTAACATTCAGATAATTATTTAAAGATTGACAAAAACTAACGTAGCATTGCATTTTTTTTCGATGAACACTAATGGGTATGCCCCAATTGTCATAAATACGTTGGAAACTAGTGTAAGTGGGGGTAATATGCTGTCTAAGTAGTTCCCTACTAGCAGTGGTTTACCTTCTTCACGGCGCTGGCGAGTATCGTATTTTGTTGATGTTATAAAGATTACCATTTCATATCCGACTTCCATTGGGTTTATTTCTCATTCAGCAACCCTTTCTGGGTTACAACATTTGATATAAGCTAAAAATACATATGACACCTATCTTGCAAGTACGAAAACCTCGATTTTAATTGGCTTCAAATAATGACGCCGTTGAGAAATTTGTATATTTTTCAGTTATTAACAGGATCTTACTATCGGATACGTATTTTAATAACAAACAAGAAGGTATATATTTTATTTACGTACCTCCAATAATTCGGTATACGTAAGGTTTAAAATTTTTTTTTTTAAATGAAAAAGGTTTCTTGAAGTTGTCATTTTAGCTTTAATTCAAATCTAATGGATTTTACATTTACTATTTCCAGTAAAGAAAATACTCTGTGATGTATTTCAAGCAGAATTTGAATTGATCGGAATCTATTTTTTTCAGTAAAATCTATAAAAATTGACCATTTTGACACATTTGTAAACAAAAGCTAATTCACGGTTTTAAAAGTCTAGCAAAAATAAAGTATATTTATAGAACGTTATTTGAGGAAAATTAGCAAATTTAAACTTAAACTAATCTGATTTGAAACAAATATTACTTATAGCATAAAATGTTGTATTCAAGCATTTCTTAACCCCGGGGGTCTTCTTTTTCTAACGTGTTAATCAATTTATTGACAACCAATTGACCGCCAAACTTGATCATAGTTAAGTGTAGTGAAGCAGACGATAAAGTTTGATTCTTATTTTTTTTAACGAGAGACAACCCTTAAAACACGTGACATTTTAACGGTATAGACACATTGAATTTTTAGAGTACATGTTAATGTTTTACAAAGTACGTTGAATTGAAGAAGTTAATTGGCCACATTGATAGGGACATTGAAATCCAGAATTTTACAGGCCACAGTGAATTTTTATAGGACATTTAAATCAAGAATTTAAAAGGCCACAGAAAAAATTTAGAGTGCATATCATTTTTTTACAGAACAGATTGAAATCAAGAATTTAACAGGTCACAGTGATTTTTTATAGAGACATAGAAATCAAATGGACACTGAATTTTTATAGAGACACTGAAATCAAGAATTTAACAGGCCACATTAAATTTTTATAGGGATATTGATAGCAGTAATTTAACAGGCCACAATGAGTTTTATAGAGACATTGAAATCAAGAATTTAACAGGCCACATTAAATTTTTATAGGGATATTGATAGCAATAATTTAACAGGCCACAATGAGTTTTATAGAGACATTGAAATCAAGAATTTAACAGGCCACATTAAATTTTTTATAGGATATTGATAGCAATAATTTAACAGGCCACAATGAGTTTTATAGAGACATTGAAATCAAGAATTTAACAGGCCACATTAAATTTTTATAGGGATATTGATAGCAATAATTTAACAGGCCACAATGAGTTTTATAGAGACATTGAAATCAAGAATTTAACTGGCCACATTGAATTTTTGTAGGACATTTAAATCAAGAATTTAAAAAGCCACAGTGAATTTTTAGAGTGCATATATTTTACGGAAGACATTGAAATCAAGAATTTAAGAAGGCACATTTAATTTTTATAGGGACACTGAAATCAAGAATTTAACAGGCCACATTAAATTTTTATAGAGACATTGAAATCAAGAATTTAACAGGGAAAATTAGATTTTTATAGTGCATTTAGAGTGGATTTTTAAATGTGCATTTACTTTTTCATTGATTTTTAATAACTGTAAATGGATAATGTACCAACGATTCCGAGACACGAACAACATAAACTTTTACATGGATATTTTGCGCTGAACATTGTTCTATGTGATCCATTTTTTTAATTACCTCTGATGATATGACACAAAAGATACAGGCACGATTACAAAAAGATAGATAGATAGATAGATAGATATGAACTTACTGAGATACAGATATGAACAGACGTAGATAGATAGATAGATAGATAGATAGATATGAACAGACTGAGATAGATAGATAGATAGATAGATAAATAGATATGAACAGACTGAGATAGATAGATAGATAGATATGAACAGACTGATATAGATAGAAAGATAGATATGAACTTACTGAGATACAGATATGAACAGACGTAGATATATATATATATATATATATATATATATATATATATATATATATATAGATAGATAAAAAAAAAAATGAAGAAAGATTATATGACAAAAAATAAGGAAGACTATGAATAAAGTAAAGTTTAAAATATTATAATCAATGATAAATTGGGAAAGAAAGATGAAAGGAAAATGACTTTTAAGGAGAGAAAAGCAAAGAAAGAAAAAGTCAAGTAAATAAATCTTAAAGCTTAAAGTTGAGAAAGTACAAAGTTTGAAGAAGAATGAATTTGCGGAAAATTGAATTAAAAATAACCACAGGAAAGTAAAAAACACCCCCAAAAAAACGAATACCAGAAATACCCTTCATTAGAAAGAAAGCAGGAAAACGGAGAAGAGCAACAGAAGAAAAAGATAAGAAATTGCATAAAATTAAAGGAAGTTGAAATCACACAGAAGAGAGATAACGAAATTTTAAGACGCAGCCATCTTGAAAATAAATTAAAAAATAAACCAATGAAATAAAAGTTATCCAGGAAACAAATAATGGCCAAGGAGAGAAAAAAAAAACACTTAAAAAATGAAACTAAACAAATTCCAAAAAGGTCAGAAATTATGTTAAAACTACGGAAGGAAAATCAATTCAAGGTGGTTCGAATCGATTATAATCAAATTATGCGACCTTAATTTTATATCGGCTTATTCTATTATATCCTGTTCAAATCAAGATGGTTGACGTTATTTTTCTGTTTATTCAAGTAAGTTGTCTTAAAAAAGATATCAGGCTTCCAATGACGAAATGGGGACAATGGTAGTGAGAGAGCATTTCATGACATTAATCGGTGCTTAAGGCCAGGATGTGAATACCAATTTTAAAATCAAATTTACCCAAGTTTTTTTAACCAAACCATTGCTTTGCAGATAAGTATGTTTATGTATTTGTAAAATCTCATATGGCAATTTGATCTCTCTCTCTCTCTCTCTCTCTATATATATATATATATATATATATATATATATATACGACAAATTTCAAGAACAACGCTATCTTCAAGTTCATCTCAAGATTGCGTTGTGCATGAAACCTCCGAGTCATACTATCGGTGAGGCAATATATATATATATATATATATATATATATATATATACTCAAATCTCCCATCGAATTCGACGTATGAGGGTCAAGCAGATCAGTTCCCAGGAAAAAAAAAACAGCCCGACAACAGCACATGAGATTTGATTATAGTGGTGAAGGTTTCGTGCAGGACCATCTACACTTTTTGAAGGGACGAATACAGAGACCTGGTGCACTAAGTGCCACAAGGTTCCCAAACGACCCTTCTCCTAGACCAGTTGCCATCCAAGGCTATAGAACCCAGTCAGTCCTGCTATTTACCCATAGCTGGAGGGAGAAGAAGAGGATTCACACCTTTCCCAAGGGTATTAGCACGTAAGAGAATGTAATGGATTCGACTAGAATTCGAACTCGGCTCTCCGATTCCTCAATCCGATATCCATTACTCCACCGTGCCTCCTTATACTTATATATAATAATTAATAGCTCTGTTATATTATATCGAGCACTATTTTATTAACACCAGCACCCAATATGCGATATCTCATATATATATATATATATATATATATATATATATATATATATATATATATATATATATATATATAACCATTGACAAACAGTAATATAAGTACAATGATAATTGACAAATTGACTTACTTATCGATTATTAACACGCTGTTATCTTACTATATAATACATCAAATGTATTTGTATATTTTCCTGTAAGGTCTATAACGTTTTCTGCTAGTTATTAATTAAGATTATAGTGACTTAATTATTATTCAATATTGTTAATTATTAATTATCATTAAAGTGGTTTAATGTGAGAAGGACAGGCTTGTAAAATCCAATACGTACAAAACTAAACTAGTAAAATTCCACCACCACTACCACCAAAGAGACCTCGAATTTTCGCGTATCACGATGGATGGGTCTTCTCTCGAAGAGTCTCTTTGTTTTGAACATGTATTGGGTCTCAAGCTCTCCACAGACCACAAAGTGCTTGGTTCATTGTTTTTGATCGATTCGTTTTTTATGGTTTATCAACTCTTTGCAGGTTATTTAAAGCCAGAAAATATTTTTGATTGTAAAATTCCTTTTTTTAGATCATAATGATTTAGAGATACATGTCTTACTAATTAACCCATAGTTTGGGGAGAAGAGATGGATTCATAACTTTCGCAAGTGTATAAGGGCATAAGTAAATATAACAAACCCAACCGGAATTACAACCCGAGTCATTATCCATTAAACCATTGCATATCCAAGCTTACAGCACCTGGTATGCCTAATCGGTCACCCATCTAAGTACTGACCAGGCTCGCCGTTGCTAAACGTCGGTGATTATAAAGAGAACTGGTGTTTCAACGTGATATGGCCGTAAGTTTGGTTTATTGTACCGCTCCAGGAAGTATCTGGCGTCCCGTTGTATACTTTATGTTTACAAGAGCCAGATCAGAACAAAAATGGATCATATCTGGGTTGGAATTGCCTAGTCCTCATTGCCTGTCTTCAACTTGTCTGAGCTCAAATCGTTCACGCGGACTTCAGGGTGATGAATTATTTTACACCCTAAAACCCCTTTTCCACATACGAAAAAATCGCGAGCCTCTCTCTGCTCTATCGCTATTTCCATGGCATGTTCTGACGATTTATACCAGCCCCTACCCTTACAGCTGAGACCAGCGAATCAACGTGCACAAGAATGAATCATCCCCATTCCTTTCATATTTGAATAGTAAGAAGTAAGTTTCTCTCGGACAGCTTCGTCCCAAGAAATGCTTTTTAGAAACGGAACAGACTTTTGGCAGAATGCTTTCACAATCTTAATCCCCTCACGTCTAGGTTCTTGCATAGTCCAATGAACTTCAATTTTTATCCTTTTTTACGCTCATACAAAACAATACATTAAGCCTCTACCTTGAGTAGTTCTTGGGCCGTGAACAATAGCATAATAAAAAGATTGGACGAACTATCTACCTAGGGAAGAATCCGAGTCCTTTCTAGCAACATTTCTGCCGTAGATGGCTGAAATATTGTGATGTGTGCTGTTTTTTTCCAGGAGATTTGTCCTAACGAAATCTCCCCTGAAAAAACAACACATGAATATGCAAATATACAACTGACGCAGTTCAGTTACATCTTTCCTGCTTTGTTTTAAATACGAGAGTTGCGTCCAAAGGCTTTATAAAAAAAATCTCTTGCTGTGAGACTTTCCAATAATTAAAATGTCATTTTCTAATCCGTATATGAATGAAGCAAGAAGAGGAATCACTTTAGTCTGAAGCTCATCGCTAAATCCGTTTTTTTTTCACTTTTGTATGGCAACAGAGCATTAAGGTGGTTAAAAATAATCTGTTCCCCAGACAACGGTCTCCTCTGTTCTCGTTGCTTTTGTTATTAGTCATTGGCAATGTGCAGAGTGAGCAGAATGGTTCAATCTTATCCGATGGTATGAAGAGAAAACGATAATAACTCACCTGAGAGGTAAAAATAACATCGGGTTAGGCACTCGGAATTATTAAGAGCTCAGATGAGTTATCAGCTTTCTTTCTTGCTATCTATCTTTCGCAGTATTTTCAACTCTCTCTCTCTCTCTCTCTCTCTTTCTATTAATCTATCTATCTCGACCTGTTCATATCTATCTATATCAGTCTTTCCTTTTTCTTTATGCCTGTTTCAGCCAGTTAATATCTATCTATCTATCTATCTATCTATCTATCTATCTATCTATCTATTCTTTATTGGTATAGATTAAAAAAAACAAGATATACCTTGTGCCCGATGAGCTGGAAAACCAGTGAAACTTAAGTCGCACACCAAAACGTAGGTATGCGTATATGTGTATTTATTAATATATATATATATATATATATATATATATATGTGTGTGTGTGTGTGTGTGTGTGTGTGTGTGTGTGTGTGTGTGCTTTATTTTATCTATCTATCTATCTATCTATCTATCTATCTATCTATCATTTCAAATATTTTAATAGTTTGGGGTAGACAATCCGATTTTGAACTGAAGAAACATTTTTATGTTATAAAGCTTGGGATCATGTATCTGTACGATTTATCTATAAATGTAATTGAGCGTTTCAATCCTAATGGAACGACTGCAAAAATGTCCCCTCTCCTTAAATTTAAAGATAAATCCCACAGATGCATGATGGGATTTTTCGTAGCCTTTAAGACAGATCACTTCTCGGTCTCATCCGCCATATTTTTGTTCTTTTTTGTCTGGAAGTCATAACGCTTTAAACACTTGTCAGCATCCTTTTTGTGTGTCATACATTTCTTGCTTTGTGAGCTTTTTACCTTATTCCTGTTGCTTTGCCTAATTTTGTCTTGCATATATATTGTTTACTCCGTATTATTTTACCCTGTTCTTTTTATTTCCTTTGTTATTGTTCACTGGAAGCTTTGACCAATCGGTTTGTTGTTCATTTCAGACGGTTATACTTAAGCATGGCCAATTACTCTACATCGGCCTCACGCTTTCTATCGCCTGTTAAAACACTTCCCAGATATTTTAACTTCTGAACTTTTTTGATTTTGGCAGTTCCAAATTCGTAATTCGCATCTTGGGTAATTTCTATTATTAAAGGTCACGAAGCACATTTCTTGCTATCATTACTAAAGCAAGGTTTCCCAAGCTTTATAACATAAAGCTGTTTCCCATTCTCTTCTCTGCACTCTCCTGTTGAAACAAAATTACGTAACCACAATTTACCGAATGTGAGATGACCCTCAAATGTTACACCAAGATTCCTGTTGCAAAGCACCAAACGATAAGTTAATCATGCAATTTGAGCCGACTAAATATTTCCTGAAGCTGGTTGCCTTCAAATAGGACTCTTGTGTTGTACTATTAACATTTCTGACAAAACGAACAAGAACCCTATCAATCAATTAATCAATCACATTCTTTTAACAGAGATCAGTGAACCAGAGAATTTAGATTTCACATATAGATAAGGAGAATTTCATTAGATAATGTTAGATTGAAAAGCCTAATATTGATCTCTTAATCGATTTCTGTAGTTTGAATAATCTTCATTAAAATTCGCTGCAATTATCTGTTACGTCATATATTAGAATATACCTGGATGTGCATTTGTAGATTTAAATATGAATAAAAGCGGACACTCATAAAAAAACATTTATGCAAGGTAGGGTACACACACACACACACACACACACACACACACACACACACATATATATATATATATATATATATATATTTTAATATTTTACAGAAGAGAGAGAAAGTGTGTCAGGTATATATATATATATATATATATATATATATATATATATATATACTGACTCTTTCTGTCTCTCTCTCTCTCTCTCTTTCTGTAATATATTTCTGTTATATATATATATATATATGTGTGTGTGTGTGTGTGTGTGTGTGTGTGTGTGTGTGTCCGTGTGTGCGTGGTGAGTGAGTGAGTGTATGTGCGTGTGTGTGTGTGTGTGTGTGTGTGTGTGTGTTCGGAGAATGTACAATATTTTAAACAAAATTGAAGATGAGAGAAGGTGGAATTTTTTAAATCAAAGACACGTTTTGCCGGAGAAAATTTGTTTTCTTTTTCTTTCTCAGTTTGATAAAAACGAACGTCTCATCTTCACACACACACACACACACACACACACACACACACACACACACACACACACACACACATATATATATATATATATACTACAATTAAGTAGTCTGGGGAAAAACTACAATATATTTCCCTTTTTTTGAAAAAAGTAAGCGCTTAACTGTAAAAAATTATCATAAAACACCATCAAATTTTGTTTTCGTCAATAAAACCACCAGCTTCCTTAATTACTGCTATACAAATTCTTTGCAACGGTATTTTAAAAAATATAGATGTCAGACGTTCCCGAGTATTCTTCAAGTACCAACAAAGCTCACTCTCACTCTTTGGGTATTCTTTCAAATTCTCCTGTCCAATTCATCCCATAAAAATTCAATTAAATTTCTGTTCTTTTTTTATGAATCGAGGTAACTTTGACATAATTTAGAAGAGTTTTGGGTCGTTGTCTTGTTGAAAGGTGAATTTTTTACATAGTATAGCATGTAATTGCAAAATCGAATAATATTTATTTCTTTTTCATGATTCCCTTGACCTGACTAAAATCTCGTGTCCCCTCTCCCCTCTCTAAATACCCCCACACCATAACAAACCCACCATCATTCTTAAGTATTGCAACCACACATACATCATTCGGTGGCTCTCCTGACTTGTTTCTCAAATACACTCTCCCCTTACTACTACTTGGAACTTTTGGGAAGTAAGAGGAGCCTTGGTGAAAGACTAAGAAATAAAACGAATACAATGAAATTTTATGTCTTATTTTGAAATATTTTTTTAAATATCTCAATTTAAGGTGTTTTTTTTTGTTTTTTTTTTTAAAGAAATTCAGAGTATCCATAAATTCTTTGCCTGTAGCATATATAAATGTAAAAGTGGAAACTGAGATCAACACTAAGCCGCGACAGTCTTCGGCGGCCTAAAGGTTGTATTCAAGCATGAAAGAGTGTCGCCGGTCGTTGCTGACATCATTATCCGCTTGTATATTTACATAAGCTCTATCTCTGATATTGAGCACTTTTACCAATAAATGTAGCATACCTTAAAACTATATCTTTATCTCTCTCTCACACTCTCACACTCACACGCACGCACGCAAGCACGCACACACACACACATATATATATATATATATATATATATATGGGCATGTGGCCGAGTGGTTGGGTGTCGTCGCTAGAAGGAAGTCACAAGTCATCATGGTCGAGGATTTGAGCGAGTTGGACAAACAAAAAAGCACCGGAGCAAGCGTCTGCAAAAGGATTGGCTAGCCGCCCCCAGTAGACAGGTATCACCGAATACGAATGGCTAGCTATTATCTCTCTCTCTCTCTCTCTCTCTCACACACACACACACACACACACACACACATATATATATATATATATATATATATATATATATATATATATATATATATATACAGTAATATTTTACAGAAAGAGAGAGAGAGGAAAGAGTGTCATATATATATATATATATATATATATATATATATATATCTGACACTCTTTTTCTCTCTCTTTCTGTAATATATTTCTATTATATATTGGGTACATTTTCTTTAGTAAGAATCTGGAGTTCACAAGCCGATAGTTACAATTCATCCTATTTAAAAATTCTTGTCTATCTCTTCAGACCCTTGTATCAACTAAAATATGACGTTTAATTTATAAGAAACAATACCGCAATAGGAATCAATTAAGCCATGCGCAGTGTGAGTTGGCTCAGAATAGTGCATTATGGGTAGCAATGACTCTCTCTCTCTCTCTCTCTCTCTCTCTCTCTA